TGATTTTTTTGGTTTTTGCTTGTTGCTATTCTCTTTTGATCTTTTTGTTGCTATTTTCTTGTTCCAATTCTCTTTTGATCTTTTTATTTATTTATTTATTTTGCTTGTTTTAGTTTTCTTTTGATCTTTTTGTTTGTGTTTTATTGTTCGAGTTTTTTTTTTCATCTTTTTGTTGATGTTTTCTTTTTCCAATTTTCTTTTGAATTTGATTCAAGAAAATTGATTCTTATGTTCCCAAATAAAAATGGAAGTGCTCTTGTGGGGTTTGTTCCTTCTTTCTTCAAAGATCTGTCGTCCTTATTGATCCTCCTTCTTATCTTTGTATATTGTTACTCTGTAGTAACGACTCCGATCTTCAGATTATAAATGCCCTAACCTGTTTGTTTTGCAATTGCTGTAAAAAATGTGGGTGGTTGGCGGGTGCTCTAGTGTGGTTTGCTTCTTCTTTCCTATCAAACATCTATCGTCCTTATCTCCTCTTTTTCTTTTTTATGTTTGTTTCTCTCTTGCAACACCTCTAATCTTTTGGCGCTCATATGACCTTATGCAGTTGTGAGTGCCGTAAAACCTCTTCTAAAACTAAAAAAAAGCTTTAAAACTCGATCTACTAATACCAAACAAAAAAACCTGAACTGTTTCCGAAGAGCCTCCTGATGAGATTGTGTTTCTATGAATGGAACAAGTATGAGTTTTTTTCTTTTGCTGTTTGACTTGTTCAGTCCGAGAAAATACTGCGTGTGGGTGCTTGGCGGGTGCTCTGGTGTGGTTCGCTCCTTTTTTTTTCCTTTCAAACATCTATCGTCAATATGTCTGTGAAATTATGTTTACTGAATCAAGTGACAATAGCTCACCGTTAGATGCATAAATAGTTCACTGTTGTTGACTTGTTGTTCAGACTAACTCGCACATGACGAACGAACACGCATGTACAGCAAAATACGCACGTAATGTCCTGATTGAGATTGTCATGTCCTGCATTTTCTTTTATACATCATGTTGATTACATTCTTTGTATTTAAGACACGTACAAAAAGGGAAGTTCGTAAATAACGAAAAGATATCCATGTTTGACACTGTATACATGTATATTAAATACTGTGAAATTCGCTCTAACTAAACACTGCTAATACAAAATTTGAGTGCTGTAATCCGAAAGAAAATATATATGTATATTACATGTATATATTTTCATTTTCTTTCCTTCTGTTTGAGCAACCTCTCTAAACTGAAAACCTGGAAACCAAATCAAATGCGTCCGTCTCGCAGATTTCAGTATAAGTGGACTCCACTGTATTTATGCATTATTGTATTGTTTATGAGTTTGTGATACTGAGATTACATGTACTGAGATTACTGGAATGTCTCAGGAGTCTTGAAAGGGACATAGTTGGTCGCTTTTAAGGACAAGCGGGCTAACCCAGATTCCGGGGGTTTCCAGAAATCTTGTCCTACACCAAAAGTGGGCATTACCCTACCTATAAGAAAAGTTTGGTTTCATTGGCGTGTACCTTTGTTTGGTTATAGAGAAGAAAACTATCCTAGTCTTTTAAAGAAACTGAACAAGGGGCCAAAACTTTACCTTCGATTTTCTCAAAACAGCTTTTTTCGGGATAGCCCCCTTGTGCTTTAAAAGCGACCAATTGTACGAGCTAAAAATGCAAGTGGTTGGAGGGTATCACTGATAGTTCCTACTTCTACATTCACATGTACTTCATTTCTTTCCCTCTGTTGTTTTAATTCTGTCTGTTCGTCTTTCTTCTTCCCCGCACAGTATGATCATTATTGTGTTGATGCATATCTATTCTCTTTACTCAAACTCAAAACTGTACAAGCTAAAAGACTGATTACCCCCCAGGGGCGGTGCCACTGACTGTATTGTGTTTAGGCCATTTCCAAAGGGGGAGAGGGGGGATATTTCTCGTTCAAGCACAGTAGAATTGTAAATGGGCTGATTCATCATGTCACGCTCATAACTGTGCCTGATCTACACCAGGGAACTGCTGCTTTTTCTTTCCTAATCCTTACTATTGTCTTTTTCCTCTACTTCTTTTGTATGTTTGTCACACTCTTGTGACCCGCTATTTCCGGGGTGCCTTGATAGTCGAAGAGTTGCGAGCGCCGTAAAACCCTCTACTATTATTTTTTAAAAGACTGATTGCTGTGGTGGTAGTAGATAAGAAAAAATATTCTTTTTCCATGACGACACATAGCTCTGCGTTACAACTACAACCTAAGACTCCAAGACTCTTTATAAAAGTTATGAAGTTTCAATGAGCCAAATTAGAACTGTTTTTAAACTTAACATTTTGTGTCTTTCAATTTTCCTTTTTTCACCCATTGTGAGTTTGTCAAAGAAAGACAACACTTTGAACTTGAACTTGTACTCACATCCCTGTCGATGATGATATTTTTGCTGTTGTTTCAAAGTGAGAGAGTGTCACATTCTGATTCGCATATAATGTATGATTATAATGTTTACCTCCTCTCCCCCTTCCCCACCCATCCCCGCCCCCCACCCCCCACCCACCCAACACCTGAAGTTACCAGAAGTTACCTGAAATTACGTGAAGTTTCTGGAATGACAAGTGGTTGAGATGGGGGGGGGGGGGGGGGGGTAGTCTTCCTGCTTTTTGCCAAGGATTCCACATGATTGATGTCCCTGGTCCCAGACACGCTTTACAACAGAAGGTGATAATATTGGGAGTGGTGCTACCCGGGCTGGTTTTTTTAAAGTAAAGATTTCTAGGTCCCCCCCCCCCCCCCTGATTTTTCATCATGTTGCATTTTATAATATTCCAGGCAATCTTTAAGATATTTTATTATGTATATGGGATCATTTTACAATTGTGGGCTGTTTCTTTTTTTATTACTGTTACCAAGATATTTTTCCCCTTTAAGTTATTTGCCGTTTTCTTACCTCTTATTAAACACTTCTCTGAACATTTCTTTCCAGGTTTTAGTTTTTCTTATCCTTTGGTATGATACTGTTGTACATGTACACATATATATATATATATATATATATTATATATATGTACACATATATATATATATATATATGTACACATATATATATATATATATATATATATGGAGTGTAAGAGTAAAGAATCAGAGTGGTTGATTTGTGCTTATTATTTCTACATTATTGTTTTGCATAATTTTTTTTGTTTTCCTTGAATTTTCTTTCAGTGTCCTCCATCTCATTTTCCCCCGACGGGTGTCTGTGGTGTAGCTGTTAGGCACTTTGCTGTCGCACGCAGAAGATCCGAGTACAGTGCAGCTTGTCTATAACGACCTTCGATATAACGACATCCTCTGCATAGCGACATGGTGCCCCAGGTTCCAATTTATTCCTTTTATATTATATATGTCATTAGTAAACTTAAGTAACTTTTGGTAGCCTCTCTATAACGACATCGTCGGGACCAGAAAAAATGTCATTATAGAGAGACTGCACTGCTATTCAATTCCCAAGTAGGCTGAATTTTTTTTAATCTCTGGCCCCGACAGACAGGATTGGAAACCTACCTCCAAAGTAATCTAAATTGTGTCACTTGGGCCATAAAAACACATTTTTTAAAACCAAAATCCCTGAGTTAAATACTGTGAGTCTGCCAGAGAACTCTATGTACATTATTATTATACTTGTACAGTTGTAAAGAAATGAATGCTTGCTTGACAACTTGGTGAAAATGTTGATTCAAGAACTCACCTGAAATCAAGATGGGAAAAACTGGAGAAGATTTTACTTCTAATTTGACTCTTACACCTGTCAGCAACATGGATGGATATGTAATGGGGAATGACTGACCGTAAAATAATGGTTCACGTAGGCCTATCACATAGTCCAGGGTGGGGTTTTTAGCGTTACTTTTTCTTTTAATTTTTTTTTTTGTGCTAGCAAATATTACACTGACATCAAGCATAACAATAAGGATGGTTTTTAGTTTGTTTGGTGTTAATGGAATAATGTCAAGAAGCTAGCTCAGGATAGGGAAAAGTGGAAAGTGTTTGTTTGTGTTTGTTTGTGGCCTATGCCTTGATCTGGGGTGAGACAGGCAATGATCATGATACGACTTGGAGAGTGTGAGTGTTGCTGCTATGACGTTCTTAAAACTACCAAAAAATAAAAATAATGTAAGTTTAAAAAAAAATCTTAGCTAAAATTAGGCCAACGGTACATGACAAAACAGGCCATAATCACTGGTGTCTGTGGTGTAGTGGCTTGGTGCTTTGCTGTTTCACACAGAAGACCTGAGTTCAATTCCCGAGTACGGAGAATTTTTTTTTCGAGCATTGTATCTCAGTCTTTCTGCTGGGATGTTGGATCCCTCTCTGCCCGGATTGATCCTGCCATGCAGGGTCTGAAGCCTGCCTCCTAAATATCAAAATTGTGACAATGGGAACGTAAAACACAGACATAAAAAAAGACCATATTATACCACACATTACAGGGGAGACAAATCATATAATTCATCAATAAACTGCTTCTTGCCTCCTCTGACAACCAATAGTTAGGTAGGTTGCTTCAGAGACAAGATGGTACACTAGCTGACGACACTTCTAGAATCTAGTAATAGGAGGTGACTGAGACTAAGCTTTTATTGTGCTAGATTTTGTCAAAGATATGCGAAAAGTCTGACACATTCTTTAGTATTATACTTGTTTTGTCCCCTTACCCTCTTTTTATGATAAACTGTCATGGGAATCTTTAGTTATTCATCGCCCTGTAGAATCTCGCTTTTTTGTTGTGGTGCGTAGCAAAGGGAAAAGAAAATTGTGAAGAAATCTTTTGAATATGGACTAGATCTATATATATACAGTGGAGAAAAAGTAAAACCTCATGACTCCGACTATTATTATAAATTTATCTATTGAAGAATAAAAAGCGAAAATCGTGAACTGAAGAACAATAACATCAAACATAACCTTTGCCCCCTGTCCTCCCTCCTTCGTCATTGATTTCATTCGACCATTTTCTGACATTCCGGAGAGATTTCACTACTAGATCTACTTACTATTACTACAGCACATCAAAATGACAGCTTCAGTGGGGAAAGTTGTCACCAGTGTTTTTCGTCCGCTGCTGTTTAAAAACAAAGTTGCGATTATTACCGGAGGAGCGACTGGAATAGGAAAAGCAATAACACAAGAGCTTCTCTATCTTGGTAAGTTTAGACTAGAGTGGTCAGTACGATTAGGACAAAATCCCTTGCTGTGCAGAAAGGTCACTTGAAAACTTAAATGAAAGCGAAAGTAGAGATTGTTGTGCGTGATTGAAATAGAATAGCATGATGATGAATTTACTAATAATTTGATAGGTCTACTATAACTTCTATAAAGCCTTATGTAATAACCGCAGCTACGACATTGGCTTATAAGTCGAAATATCTTGCAGGTAAAGAAGACTCTTTTAAAAGAGTAGGCTATGCCTCTATACATTATTCATTATGTAATAAAAGGCGAGCCTATAGATATATCTAGAATCTAGATCTAGACAAGATCTACTATTATATTAAGATCTAATCTAGAGCTATATATGCGAGGCAGCGTGGTGGAATCAGGCTCTCGTCAATTTTTGGTCATGTAGAGTATTTGGTGTATCATCTTAAAGCTTTATTAAATTCACTTGTCTTTATTTGGATTTTAAAAAAATCCATTTATCTTGAATACAAGTCGAGATATTTGCGAAAAAAGGAAGTGGGCGTCACCTGTTTTCTGTGGTAAAATTAGTGAGAAAATGGCCGCCAAAGATTAGTTATTTCCTTAGCTTAAGAGTCCGTGGTAACTGAAAATTTACATTTTTGTGCCTTTAATCAACGCTTTTCAGAAAAATCCACCCAGAAATGAATTCTTTAATGGGCATGAAAGGTGTTGAGCCAAAAAACAAAAATTTGATTAAAAATTCACGAACCTGCGGAAAAAAGCAAGTTTGATTATTTTGACAAGAGCCTGATTCCCCCATGCTGCCCCACATATTTATTTAAATACTATTTAGAGGCTTTGTTTTTTTAACATCCACAGATGCATTTAGGCACTTGTAAGTGTAAACAGTTAGTCTAACTGCAGGTTTATTTTTCGAACAGGGTTTGATTGATATTTTTTACGCTTTTCAATGTTGATAATCGTTTTATGTATCTTGTTCTCTGGCTTGGTAACTTGCAGGCTGCAATGTGATGATAGCGTCTAGAAAAGTGGACAGTCTTGAGAAGGCAGAGACAGAACTACAGGCATGGCTGAGGAGACACGGACGGAGTGAGTCACAGCTGCAGACGGTGCCGTGCAACATCCGGAAAGAACAAGAAGTGAGCTCTGAACTGATTATGGAGTATAAGTTCCAATTCCTAGTAAATCTACATCTCAACAATATTAGGTATTTTGATAGAATCACTCCTGTTTCATGTCTGCTATCCTTGACGGTTTGACTTTTATTTTTTGCTTTATATATATATGCATGCTTTTGTAGTCGGGGGGGGGGGGGGGGGGGGCTCTTGCGGCCAAGAAGTAGCGACCGAAAAATTTTCTTCTCTAAATTTTTCTCCTTTCGCATCATTTCATGCTCTCTAGCAATGTTGTCGTCTGCTTTCGTCTCCTCTTTCTGCCCCCACCCCCTCACCTCCTTTGCCCCTTCCTCTGGGCTCCTGATTCTTTCTGCAGCCTTTCTCTGCTACTCCTTCGCTTCTTCTTACTGCTGTCTTTCAGCCACACCCCTGATCTTCTGGTAGGAAAGATCTACACCTAGCCTTCTTGGACAAGGGCGAAAAATCTCGGAGGGCTCGTGTGCAAGTTGTGCACGTTAAAGATCCCTTGGTGGTCTAAAATCGATAAAGAGTAGGCTTCGGCCGCCACCCGGGCAAAATTCAAAATTTCTTACCAACTGAAAATATTAGGTGTGTCCCGTGCGCTCATATATGACCTTATGCAGTCGCGAGCGCCGTAAAACACTTTACAAAAAAGTAGTCAAGGGAGGGTCCAGGGGGTCCCCCCCCCCCCCCCCCCCTGAAATTACCAATTGCGATGTTTTTTAATGCCTTAATCGCATTCAGGGCCATAAAAAACCTTTGAAGCTCCAAAATAACACCCTTTAGGAGACGGGAGTGATTCTATAAATTTACCATTTAAAAAAAATTATTTCACAAGTAGACCTAGATCCAAGTTGATGGGTGTGATTTAAATTCAAACGGACAATTCCCTGAATAGGGATGTACATAAATAAGAGTCTAAGTATTATCCTCACTATCTTTATTTATTTCCCTAGTGCTAGCTGTTTTAATGTTTCACTTGAGGAAATAGCATAAGATGTTTCTTGGTTGTTTTTTCTGGGGGGGGGGGGGGCTTTTTTTTTAACTTTACGAGTACTTTACGTAGGCCTACTTAATTTCTTTCTTTTTCTTTTTTTTCTGTAAGTGTACTTGTGTGTTTTCCTGTTTCCCCCCTACACCAGCAGCTGACCAGATCTACAAACGTTTCTGTTCCAGGTTCAGAATTTGATTTCCTCTACTTTGGACAAGTTCGGCCAACTGGACTTTGTGGTCAACAATGGTGGTGGTCAGTTCCTGAGTCCGGCGAGAGATATATCCACGAAAGGCTGGCAGGCCGTGATTGAGACAAACCTCACGGGCACGTTCCTCATGTGTCGTGAAGGTGAAGCTGTCCCACAATGATTTGTATACCAAGAACACTCTTCTAGTCACGTTCATTTAATTAATCTGTGTAGGGCTAGCCAGATTTTCCTTTATGAAGGGGCACAATGGCATCTGTCTAAAGATAAACCATGTTTCTTTTTGACAATGGGTGAGCTTTTCAGACAGTTTTTACTGTACTAACCCTTCCAGCCCCATGCGCATATATATTTTCAGCAGCGCTTGTACCTCCCGCAGTCCCAAGGGCGAATATATTCATTTAGTTTCAGGTGAGGGGGAGTGCGATTTTGCACAACTTTAATTTTTCATAATATTTGTCATTTACTTTTCAACAGTGCTACATGTTATTACAGTCCGTGCCGGCTATAAGCACGCCGGCTTAAAGCACGTTTCAGACACAAGCACGCTAAACGGCTCTTACCGAATTTTTGCTTTATAAATTACACGCCTTTAAGCACGGTAACTTCGGCATTAAGCACGCTTCATTACAAGACAGTAATACTTTTATGATGACCCATCGAAGTTCGAACACAGTCTACACCACAGCAGTGGAGTGTGTTAAGAGAAATACAGAGAACGCAAGTGATAGAGACACACACTCACACGGGCGGAGAGGAAGGCAGAGAGATGAACACAGCCGCGCGCATGGACATAGGATCTAGCCTAGGGCAAAGTTACACACTGACTAAAAAATACAAAGAGAGTCAGGGAGACGAGAAAGGGAGGCTGGCTGCGATTTCACCTTTGACGCTCACTATCCGATAATCCTGATTGTGTATCACGCGCGAGGTGAGATGAAGGCGGTGGTATGAATGTGGCACAGCGGGCAGTGGTACGCACAAGCAGCGTGTAGACCTACTAGTGTGCTGTATCGTGACTGGCCGTCTAAATTAAGTGTTCATTTCCCATTCGACAACAAAACAATAACAACCAAGCAAACAAAAACTACCATGGCGGGTAAAAATAACAGTGCACGCTTTTGCGGGATCACTATAGGCCTACTTACAAACAAAGGGAAATAGCACGCGAAATTTTCTACATGAAAATCTCTGGATTATGTCTACTTCGCACTCAAGTACGCTTCTGATTTAAGCACGCTTATGCTTTCTCCCGATGACCGTGCTTAAAGCCGGCGTGGACTGTATCTTAATGTTATCTCAAAGATACTACGATCACTTTTTAGAATGCATGCCTCTTTTTCTGAAATACTGCTGTATTTGGCTGGTACTGGGGTTAGGGAGTGCACAAAAATGGCTAGGGCTGAAAGGGTTAAGAGCGCTATATAAATCCAGTCTATTATTAATGTATGGGACAGAGTGCTATATAAATGCAATTTATAATTGCTATTATTTATTATTTTACTCAGCCTATACTCAGTGGATGGAGGACAACGGTGGAGCTGTCGTAAACATCATCGCTAACATGTGGAATGGATTTCCATTTGTGAGGTTTGTTTTTCAAAACTTATTTTCTTTATGCTGTTATGTGTGGTAGGCCTACTTAGTACATGTATAAGTATACAATTAAATCTTCTCTAACTGCTATCTGTACAAAGACGATCGCCTGTACAAACGGCCACTAAGTATACAATTAAATCTTCTCTAACTGCTATCTGTACAAAGACGATCGCCTGTACAAACGGCCACTTCCCATTCACTCCCTTGTGTATTTTAAAAATATTATGACACTGTGAGAAGGCCACCTGTACAAGGCAATCACCTGTACAAACGACCACCTGTATAAGACAATCACCTGTACAAAAGGCTACCTGTATAAGACAAGCACCTGTACAAAAGGCCACCTGTACAAACGGCCACCTGTATAAGACAATCACCTGTACAAATGGCCACCTGTATAAGACAGTCACCTGTACAAACGACCACTTCCCATATCCTCCTTTGTGTTAAAAAAAAATTTGTAATGACACTGTGTGAGATGATCACCTGTCCAAATTGTGGGTGGTTGGCGGGTGCTGTGGTGTGGTTTGCTTCTTCTTTCCTATCAAACATCTATCGTCCTTATCTCCCCTTTTTCTTTTTTATGTTTGTTACTCTCTTGTAATACTTCTAATCTTTTGGCGCTCATATGACCTTATGCAGTTGCGAGCGCCGTAAAACCTTTACTAAAACTAAACTAAACCTGTCCCAATTGGCCACTTTTCTCCCCTACAATCGGTGGCCGTCTTATCAGTTTCAAGTATATTTCCACGACTTTTAAAGCTGGTACTGTCAGTGTTAGCAGACTACCATTGGATTACTATCAGAACAGGCTTTCTAATTAAGTGTTTGTGATTTTTTGTTCTTTTATAGTTTTAGTTAGGGTTTTTTTTTCCCTCACTTCTTTTGAGATGAATACAGTTCTCATTTGCAACTGTTCACATTTGCTACCAGGACATTAACACTTTTCACCCACGCAGCGCGCAGAGTGCTCAACAATTCTCCCCACGGACCAGGATACAGGTGCAGTGCACGCTATATCACACCCGTCGCTGATCGGTGTCCCGTGGGGAAAAGAGACGGCTTCTTACCGTCACCGATCGGTGTCCCGTGGGGGCATAGTGTTAAGAAACCTATCTGTAGAATTTTTGGGTGTTTGAGTTTCCTTCTAACTGGGTCTTCTCTCGTGCTCCTGTACTGAATGGGTGGTTGGCGGGTACTCTGGTTTGTTTTGCTCCTTCTTTTCTATAAAGTTTCTACCATTCTTGTCTCTCTTTTTTTTATAATGTAAATGTAAGTGTTTTTACGCCCCCTTCAACACAAGTTCCTATCTCTCCTCCTTCTTTTCTTTGTATGTGCAACTCTTTAGTGACACCTCTAATTTTCAGCACTTATATGACCTATTTGTGTAGCAAGTGCCGTAAAGCTCTCACTGAAACTATATACAAAACCTACACTATGTGATGATCTTCTGTGAATGTCGTTGACCTTTTCCCTCCCACAGCCACACTGGCGCTGCCCGATCGGCCGTGGACAACCTCACCAAAAGCCTGGCAATAGAGTGGGTGCACAGTGGAGTCCGCATCAACGCAGTAGCTCCGGTAAGTAGTGGTGGTCGTGCCCCACAGAGCACACATACAACAACTGATTTGTGTCTCCCCGCAGTAGAATCAGGCACTCGTCAAGTTTTGGGTATGTGGAGTTATTGATATCAGCTTAAATAAAGCTTGTTCATTTGTCTTTCTTTGGATGAAAAAAATACCAATCTACCTTGAATAGAAGTTGAGATATTTGCCATTGAAAGAGATGGGGGTCACAAATGGCCATCAAAGTTCGATGATTTCCAAAGCTTGAGAGGCCTCGGAAACTGAAAGTCTGCAAATTTTGTGCCTTTCACTTTAATCATCGTTTTTCTAGTTAAATCCGTACAGAAATGTGTTTGAAAACGGGCATAAAATGTGTCGAGCGAAAAAACAAAAATTCTAGAAAAATGTTCATCTGACAGAAGACTGCTGGTATCTTCGAATTCAGTATTTAGACATGTGTCTGATTGCGCCATGATGCCTCAGATCTACTAAGAATTTTACGGTATTTGCTGCGCAAATAGGTCTTTATAATTGATGAAGGTTAGAGGTGTTACTAAATGTGAGGCAGCGTGGTGGAATCAGGCTCTCGTCAAAATAATCAAAAGGAAGAAACTTGCATTTTTCAGCAGGTCCATGAATTTTTATCAAATTTTTGTTTTTTATCTCCACACCTTTCATGCCCATTAAAAAACTCATTTCTGTGTGGATTTTTCTGAAAAACGTTGATTAAAGGTACAAAAAATGTTAATTTTCAGTTACCATGGACTCTTAAGCTAAGGAAATAACTAATCTTTGACGGCCATTTTCTTACTAATTTTACCTCTGAAAATAGGTGACCCCCGCCACCTTCTTTCGCAAATATCTCAACTTGTATTCAAGATAAATGGATATTTGTTTTATTCAAATAAAGACAAATGAACAAGCTTTAAGATGATATCAATAACTCTTCAAGCCCGAAAATTGACGAGAGCCTGATTCCACCACGCTGCCTCACAAATAGTAACACGCAAATAAAAGAAGGAGGAAAGATAAGGACGATAGATGTTTGATAGGAAAGAAGGAACAAACAAACCACACCAGAGCACTGGCGAACTTCCTACAAAAAACAGTCTCCTCAGACAGACTTACTGCAAGGCTGTCTTCTAGGTTACTACTTTTATTCCTGTATTTGGTCTATACCATTCTGCCAAATACCTATCTTCAGAGCTAGATATTTGAGGAAATAATTAACATAAGGTACCTTTCCTATGGGTACACTGAGGGTGGTTGGCAGGTGCTCTGATTTGGTTTGCTCCTTCTTTCCTCTCAAACTTACTTCTATCATTCTTATACTTATATCTCCTCTTATTTTTTTTTCTTCTTGTCACACTTCTAATCTACGGCACTTATATGACCTTAATGTGTTGCAAGTACCGTAAAACTTGTACTTATGTGATTTGAATTTGTTTTTTGTTTTTTTTTACATCATAACTATATTTGGCATGGAAAGGAACTGACCACCCTACCACAATATGCCGAAGGCCCAGGAAGTTGTCTCACTAACAAGGCAATCCCCAATGTCTGGATCGGATGCGGGAACAACTTCTTAATTGTATTTGAAAATGCTTCTGTTTCATGTATGATTGTTATGCTTTTTGTTGTTGCTTTCACTCAAATCAACAATCGCTCAAATCAACAATCGCTCAAATCAACAATCACTCAAATCAACAAGTGTTGTCTCGTGTTGTTCCAGGGGACTATTTACTCCACTACAGCCTCGGCAAATTATGAATATGACGTGTTTGCGGAAACGGAGAAACTTCAGCCGTATCGAAGACATGGTTCCGTAGAAGAGGTTAGTGTGCAGCTCTTTCAGTTTTTCTAAAAGGTAATATTTTTCCAGAAAATGGTCAAAGTCTAGAGTGTCAGAAATTCTTGATTGGCATCTGAGGTGTAGCGTTTAGATGCTGGAAACCTGAGTTTAATTCCCAAGTAGGGCCAAATATTTCAGTATTTCTGCTTGGATGTTGTATCCCTCTCAGCTGAGGTTGGTCCTAACAAGAAAAAGATGTTCTTGAAAGTAGCTGACTTGGTATGGTGTTTGCTTGTCACCCAGTTTTAGTTTTAGTAAGGTTTTACCAGGGCAGTGCTACTGACTGAAGTGTCTTTAAGCCATTCCCAAAGGGGGGATATTTAATATTGACATGTTCTTATGCACAGTAGAATTGTACATGGGCTGATTTATCAATGCCATGCTCATACTGTGCTGGAACAACTTGGGGGGAACTGCTGCTTTATCTTTCCTTATCTTATCATCATTTTCCCCTTACTACTTTTGTATGTTGGTCACCCTCCTGTGAGCTGCTATTTCCAGGGTGCCTTGATAGTCGAAGCAGACTTTGTGCTGTTGAGGCAAGAGAGGTGAGCAGAGTAAGCCTGATTCTCCATTTGGATGTCTCTGTTGACATCCACCCCTAGGTGCTCATAGGACCTTAAGCAGTTGCGAGCGCGGTAAAACCTTTCTAAAACTGACTGTCTATCATGTCCAGTCATCATACACGGTGTGTACTCTTCTCCGCAGGTTTCTGGAGCGGTGTGTTTCCTGCTGTCTCCCGCCGCGAGGTTCGTCACCGGTGCCACATTGCGCGTGGACGCCGCTCAGAGCTTGTACAATTGTCCCACTCTTGTCGTGCCAGGTAACATTTGTGAGGCATCGTGGTGAAATCAGGTGCTCATCAAAATAATTAAATATAAGAAAATGGAATTTTTCCATTGGAGAGTCAATTTTTTAATAAAAATCAGTTTTTGGCTCAGCACCTTCTAATACTAGATCTATTCAAAACAAATTTCGGTGTGGATTTTACTGGAAAGCGTTGGTTAAAGACACAAAAACTGTACGTTTTCAAATCCAAAGGACTCTCAATCTATGGAGTTACCAACTTTTGTCGCCATTTTCTCCATAGCTATACATCTGAAACCAGGCAACCCCTACCTCCTACCATCGCAACTATCTTGACTTCTTTTCAAGATATTTGGGGGGGGGGGGGGGGGGGGAGGGTTTCCGTTGAAATCAAGAAAAATGAACAAGCTTTAAGATTATACCAATAACTCCATATGCGCAAAAAGTGACGAGCACCTGATTCCACGGCGTCGTTACACATTTCGTCGGCCTAGTGATAAAACCGACTAACCCACAATATTTCAAAAAAAATTTTATTGGCCCTATCGATAGTAAATTGTCCATTTCATATGCTCACTCAAAGACAGATCATAATTTTGTTTAACAATGTCTTTAAAACATTAGAAATAAAACCGTATAACCCGGCACCCATCGGATTTTAGCCCGATAACTCCGACTATCCCACCTGCGAGGGAGGGAATGAGGGTTGGCTGTTTTTATCGCGCTAACAATGAGGGGCCATGTGCTACGTTACCGACTAACCCCGGCTTCTACTCGTCTCCGGACTTCGTTTGACATCAGATTCAGACCTGTAATAGTCCAGAATTCGCTCACTTAACCGTGGGAGCTCTCCAAAAAAGGAATATTTGAGTAATATTTCTTGTTGGTTTCATTGGGGAGTTAAATAGATCTTGTTGTTTCCTCTTTTTTCTTCGTTTTAATGCTGCTGATAATGTTATTAATGACTAAAACTCTGCACTGTTCCCACAAAACTGTTTATCTCGTGACAATGCTGGTATTTCAAATGCATCTTCATGGATTTTGTTTCATATGAAACTACTTATTCTGTCCACGTGTACTGGAAAGTCACCGAATTGTGAAGGCATTTTTCCCTTATTCGGACTACTGTGTCTTCTCCTAATCATTTTTTCCTTCGCAATTGAATGGACGAAGTCGAAAGAATTTCATTCTTTACTAACTCACTCCAAAGAAAAAATGTGGGACCTGTCCAGCACACCGTCAGCCCCTAACGTTCAAAGTTTTTTTAAAGTGTTTCTTTCTTCATTTGCAGTGTTTATTGCAGTCATTACCTTCTAAAACATCTTTCGACTTTCTTTGAAAGTTCATTTCGTTTGTGTTTTGTTTAGATTATTTTCTCAGTGTCATAACATAATGCTTTATCCTTTTATGTCAAACCTTAACTTACGTAACGCAATAACATTCCATAAGATGATGCTACTCTTGCTGCGTCACCTCTGACCCTCAGCGCAATGGAAAGTGATCAACATTACCAAGCTAATGTCACATCAGCTGATAATGCAACAGTTTTGTCACCATTGATCTCTGCAAATAGGACACAGCATGAAAACGATAGGAAGGGTAACAAAATGAAGAGGTTGAAAGAACTGGGAATGCCTCTACACCTGTCAAGGCACAAAGCGAGCAGAGTGTGAACTTAACGTCCTTTGCAGTTGAAAACTGGTTGATACAAAATGCAATGACATTACTGCTCACCCTCTTGGGAAAAAAAGAGAGTCTACGTGTATGCCATGATAAACAGGATAGACAAAAAGTGATCTTACACAGCAAGTGTAAACCCAAGGAGAAATTACACCCTTCAATACCACTTAAAAGAGTCAATTGTCAAAGAACACCTGTTTGTAAACCAATCTTCACGAACACAGCAGGCCTGACCCACTGGTTTATTTAAAGTGTCTTCTCCGAAAAAAGAACAAGAGCCCCCCCCCCCCCCCCCCCCAAGAACACATCATGCCCACCACGAGAGAGCCAAGGATGACAAGTTGTTCCTTAAAGAGTAATTTTGGACAAACTTAGGAAGATATCCTCCTGTGTACAGATGACAGTCCAGAAAACTTCAGATATGCATCGAGTATACATGGAGAAATGAGCAGAGAGACAGAAAAAACATTGAGCTATCAAGTGTTGTGCCAAAACTTTAAAAAAAAAACAATTTGGGTTTTCTTTCAACCAAAAAAGAGCAGTGCGACATTTGCACCAGCTTTGAGTCAGTCTGGAAACCTCACAGAAATAGAATGTACAGCTTATCAATAATTTTAATTTATGAATATGAGGAAAGCTGTAGCTCGAGCAGAGAAGGAGAAGGACAGGGAAGCTGCACTGAACCCAGAACAAAGTGTGTGTCCTTTGTATGAAGACCCAGCGCGTCCTCCTGGCACCATCACTGACACCCGCCTTATATTATAAAACAAAACTGGCTGTACATAATTTTACAATTTAGGATCTTGCCACCAGAGACGCCAGATGATATGTCCTGGATGAAAGTGAAGGTGGTCTGAACTCCAACAGTTTTCATCATGTTTGACTCTCTACCTTAGATTGCAAGTGACTGACTTCAACCACTTCAACATCTGCAGTGATTGGCGCAACTACTAAAACAGAACTGCCACCCTGGTGAGTGCAATGGCCTCGGTGGCCATAGAGCTTAACATCACAGTTGAGCAGAAATTCTCACCAAGGGCCATACCCAAATGGAGGTGGATTCAGTCCTAGGCACCATTGAGCGATCGCTCCAAAACGCACGTATGTACATCCCTATGGACTACGTGAACATTGTGCTCCAAGCCAGACGCATCCCCAGGTCCTATGAAGTTATGTACCTGGACCACAGCTTTTTCAAAGATTTTGTAAAGGTCGGAGAGCACTAAACAATCCGTCCAGGGAGAAAAGCAGGCGATCCTACTGTCACTGACTTGCAGGCTTCAAAGTGCACTCCATACTTTAAAATTCAGTACAAGCTGAACTTTGATGATGGATGGCAGGCGCTGCAAGGACCAAAAAAGCTGAACACCCAGTGTACGACGGTTACTGCTGGACCTCTCTGCAAAGACAGATTGAAGATAACTGCCAACCAGTATAAACATCTACTGGAGTTGAAGGCGGTCCTACCACGATGGAACCACAATTACCATGGAACTTTGCCTCAGTAAGACGTTTTGAAAGCGATCAAGTCAAATTCGATTATGGTTGAGTCTTTCAAAACAATGGTAACTTTTGTCGTATTGCCTTGTTATAGCCATAGGACACAGAGTGAGACAGACATGCTCTTCTATTGTTGAGAAAACTCAATAATGTAGTAGTTGTCAAGCCACGCACCTTGAAGAAAGTTGGCGCATTCTTTGATACTTACAAAGTCTTTTTGTATAATAATAATATATTATTAAGAAGCCAACTTCACTCAAACCATTGCTGAGGTAGCAGAGCTCCTCTGTGGCTTTCTGCTTTCATTTCTTTCTTAGTATTACTTTTTGTGCCAATAGTACCGTGTCAGACACTGTCATAAATTCTAAAGGCCTGCTGATGCTACTGCTACTACTTTTGTTTTTGTTTTTGTTGTTGTGGTTGTTGTTTTTGTTGTTGTTGCTGTAGCTGCTCTCCCTTACCATTCGAACCTCCTGTTCTTCTACTTCAAATATAATTAATATACCCATTGCTGTGTTCTGCTTCTTCTACTTCTATTAAATGTTCCAATTGGTGACTGCTGTTTTTGCCAGAATTGACTCCGTAGCACTGAAATGGCAGCAGCTGATAGTATGTTGGTAGCAGTAATATCGTCCTCCTCCTCTTCCTTTTTACTCCTCCTCCTCCTCCTTTATTCTCCTCACCATCTTCTTCCTCCTCCTCCTCCTCCTCCTCCTCCTCCTCCTCCTCCTCCTCCTCCTCCTCCTCCTCCTCCTCAACCTTCTTCTTCTTCTTCTTCTTCTTCTTCTTCTTCTTCTTCTTCTTCTTCTTCTTCTTCTTCTTCTTCTCCTTCTCCTTCTCCTTCTTCTCCTTCTCCTTCTCCTTCTCCTTCTTCTCCTTCTCCTTCTCCTTCTCCTTCTCCTTCTTCTTCTTCTTCTTCTTCTTCTTCTTCTTCTTTTTCTTCTTCTTCTTCTTCTTCTTCTTCTTCTTCTTCTTCTTCTTCCTTCTTCTTCTTCTTCTTCAAAAGATCACGACGATTGAAGAACTGATCAAATACGTTACAATCAAGTGTGGCTTGGCTGCACTCAACCAAACTCTAGGCCAGCAGTGGCTTCCTGATAAAACCGGCCAACCCACAAAATTGAGGGTTGGTCGGTTTTATCGGGGAAAATTTGAGCGACATAACCGTCTAACCCACGCAGTTTCATTAAAAGCGATTTTTAAAGAAAAACAAGGTCTACAGATTTTAAGTAAAGTGTTTTTATAACTGTTTAAAGCATTGATTTATCGTTAGACACCTTTGTTTTTTAATAAAACAGTTTTTTCCTTCTCCTGTAAAATTTACCTCGCTGGGGTTAGCCGGTTTTATCACAAGGCCGACGATTTGCTTTGACAGACTGTGTCGTAGCTTCCCCGTTTTTTAGACAACGCCTGTTGTTATGTCTCTGTAGCTTCCTGTGCCGATTTGAAGCTGTGGTCAGTACAGCTTGTGTGTCCCTTTCGTATAATACACGCGGTAGTGTAAAGCGCATAGAGCTTGTTGTAGAGTGGGGTTATGCGGTTGGTGGGTGCTCCGGTGTGGTTTGCTTCTTGTTTCTTATCAAACGTTTATCGTCTTTATCTCCCCTATTTCTTTTTTTATATTTGTTACTCTCTTGTAGCACCTCTAATGTTCGGCACTTATGTGACCTAATTGTGTTGCAAGCGCCGTAAAACTCTTCGAAAACTAAAACAAAAGCTAAGTTATGTTCACCTAAGTTTGTTGTTAGGCCTGAGACTCTGTCTAACTACAATTTGTAGATCACCTATCCCGAAGACTGGCTGTCAGCCAGGGTGCTTTTGAAGATTTGGCTACCACCCTGGGCAGTGCCACTGACTGAAGTGTCTTTAGGCCATTCCCAAAGGGGGGACATTTCTCGTTCTTATGCAGAGTAGAATTGTAAATGGGCTGATTCAACAATGTCATGCTCAAAAATAACTTTTTCTTTCCTAATCCTTACTATCGTCATTTCCTCTACTTCTTTTGTATGTTTGTCACACTCTTGTGACCCACTGTTCTTGAAAGTCAAAACAGACTTTGTGCTGTTAAAGCTAGAGATGTGAGCAGAGTAAGCCCGATTCCCTGTAAAGACTTCTCTTTTGACATCCACCCCTTGGCGCTCATATTACCTTATGCAGTTACGAGTGCCATAAAACCTCTACTTAAAAAAATTAATTTAAAAAATAAGATTTGGCCACCAGCTTCCGCCATTCCTTCCGGTCTTCAGCATTCCTGAGTGTGTTTTGAGTTCCTGGCCTGTCCATTCCTTGATGTTGTCCTCCCAACTTTTCTTCGTTCTGCCTCTGCTCCTTTTTCCCAGGACGCTGCCTTGCAGGATTATCTTGGCAAGGCCAGATGAACAGGTGATTTGTCCATACTTCCTGTTACTTAAATTCACGTTTCGCACTAACTCTACATTTTAAAATATTTTTTCTTTATAAATGACAACATTTTTATTCAGATATCTTTCTACATGCTGTCCATGTTGGTTTTTCTTATGTCACTTCCAGAGCACGACAAGATGCCAGTGTACACCTGGGAGACTGACGTACAAGAGCAAAGCGACAACTCTCACGACAGTTCGTGAACTTCTAGAATATTGTTACATGACAGTTCGTGAACTTCTAGAATATTGTTACATGACAGTTCGTGAACTTCTAGAATATTGTTCCATGACAGTTTGTGAACTTCTAGAATATTGTTACATGACAGAGGATGTGTATGATGGTTCATATGACATGATTAGATGTGTATGGTGGTTCGTGTGACATGATTAGATGTATTGTGTATGGTGGTTCATTTGACATGACAGAGGATGGAAATGGTGGTTCATGTGACATGATTAGATGTGTATGGTGGTTCGTGTGACATGATTAGATGTGTATGGTGGTTCGTGTGACATGATTAGATGTGTATGGTGGTTCGTGTGACATGATTAGATGTGTATGGTGGTTTATGTTACATGACCAAAGAAATGTGTGGTTCATATGGCATGGTTAGTTGTGTGTGATGATTTGTATGATGGGATGTGTTAAATGTTTTTTTTTTTTTTTAAATGTAGATATAAATTTTTACACCTATCGTCACAATTTATATTCAGTTAGTTAGCGGGCTTCTGACTATGCCTGTCAGGGCCAACCTGGGCTGAGATGGATACAACATCCCAGCAGAAAGACTAAGATACTCAATAAAAATTTACTCCCCACTCGCGAATGGAACTCAAGTCTCCTGTGTGAGACAGCTAAGTTCCTAACTACTACACCAAAGACGCTGTATAAGCTCTCCAATGTATGAGATTTGTAGTACACTTTATTGCGGTGGGCCTCGGCTTTAACAACAGGACCATCGGGACTGACATGGTATTCCTACGTGCATCTTGTTATATACTTTGCGGATCAATTTACATACCCTGTAACGTATTATTATAAAAGAACGGGGTCCTTTTAATAACATAGTGGCATAGCTTTTGCTGCTTGGCCTATATCAGTTATTGCCCCTCGCTTTTCCAGTGTACATTTTTGGGGGGGAGTTCTCAGCTTTATCTTCTTTATTATTTCTGGTAGTTTTCCTATTTTAGTCTCGTGGAGATATATTATGGGTGGTAGAAATTATAATGATAATGTGCATCTATGTATCATGCTGTACAAGATCTACAGCATGCTCTGTGCACTTTGCAACCATTCATCATCGAATAGCCAGCACACTCAAGAAAAGGGGCTCTGTGGCCTAGAGGTTAAGGTCTTCGCCTTTCTTTCAAAGGTTCCGGGTTCGAATCTGGGTAGCGATGGAAAAATTGTCTGCTCTAAAATTGTCTCCATTCACCTCCTTTCCAGCTATCTAGCAATCATCTGTCATCTGTTTTCGTCTCCACTTTCTGCCCCCACCTCCTTTGCCCCCTCCTCTGGGCTCTTGATTCTTTCTGCAGCCTTACTACAGCTACTCCTTGGCTCCTTCTTACTGCTGTCTTTCAGCTACACCCTTGATCTTCTGGTAGGAAAGATCTACACCTAGCCTTCTCGGACAAGGGCGAAAAATCTCGGAGGTCCAAGTTGCGCACATTAAAGTTCCCTTTGTGGTCTAAAATCGATAAGAGTAGGCTTCGGCTGCCACGCGGGCAAAATTAAAAATTTCCTACCAACTGAAAATGTTTGATGTGTCCCGCGTGCTCCTATGACCTTATGCAGTTAGGAGCGCCGTAAAACACTTACCAGAAACGAAACAAAAACCACTCAGGAAAAGGAACACACACAGATCTGCAGTAGATAGACCACCCAGGGCCTACTTTTCATTCAGTCTTTTTTCCCATTACAAGTCTCACCACCCAATGGGGAGACAATTTGACGATGTGGCGCCAGACCGAGGTCACCCTAAGTCATAGACTGGATTTGACAAATCAACACCGCAGTGCATCCAGCTTTCCCCCTCTCTCCCTTGTACTAGTGTACTGCCCTATGCTAACAACACCTTTTTCTTATTCACAGCAGTTTCGTGAAATCAATGAAATAAATATATTTCTTTTAAGTATATTTTAAAACTATTTTGCACAGTACATCAATGGTTGACCTCGCATGCTAAAGAGAATGACATTCCCTATGTTCAACAGATACTATAAGAAATGCAAAAATTGTTGATTTCTCGAAACTTCTGTGAATAAGAAAGAGACATTTTGTCAGAGTAGGGCAGTGTACACACGATATGACTTTAATTTACTTTACTGTTATCCGCCGCTTATACCCTTTTGGGTGTCGCGGGAAGAAAGAGACGTCTCTCTGCCACCAGCCGGAGAGCTTGGGTCAGGGGGATGCCATGAGTTGTTAATGTTTCCCTGACTCCCCCTATCCAGGTCTTTCTCGGTCGCCCTCTAGCCTTGTTGCCATTGAATTTTTTTAATGTAGGTACGTTGTGCTGGATGGTGTATTGGTAATCGTAGGAGATGTCTGAACCATTTGATTCTTTGGTGTTTGATGTGATGCATGACATCATTTGTGCGTACCATTTCTCTGACTAGTGAGTTTCTAATTTTGTCTTGCCTGGTCTTGTTTACTGCTTTTCTAAGACATCGCATTTCACGTGTTGTAATTCTTTACTCCAATGTCTTGTTTATGGTCCATGTTTGGCATTGATAGGTGACTGTTGGGATGAATATGGTGTTGATCATTTTGAGTTTTGTTGTAATGGGGATGTTAGAATGTTAGGATTTTCAGTAGTGGAGTAAGCTGGTAACTAACAGTATTAGCCTTTTGTACTCGTTTTTCAATTTCTCTGTTCAGTCGCCCATCCTCTGTGAATATACTTCCGAGGTACTTAAATTCTTGGACCTGTCTGAGACTGTTGTTGTAAAATGATTTGTATCCTGAGTGGTTCTTGCTTTCTGCTTACTTTCATTGTCTCTGTTTTGTTGATGTTGATCTTCATGTTGATGTTGATCTTCATGACACGATATGAAACAAAATAACATTTTTACAAAATCACCTTCTAAGAGCCACTGTAGGTCACACGGGTACAATTCTCCGTGGATGTTGTTTTGCATTGTTTCTTTTATTCCACTGTCTTGCTCGATGATTTTGTCGATGGTTGGACCACTGTTATATATATATATATCCGATTCTGTCTGTTGGATTGCCTGTTAGAAACGATATTTTTTTCCTATACATTGTAAGAGACCGGACTCAAGGATTTTTTGTAGGCCTAATATAGCTGGAATCCTGTTATAACCATGACTGAATATAAGTACTCAAGTTTTGAAAATATTTATCCAGAAGTATTGATGTGGATTTTAACTTATGCAATGAATGAATGAATTAATGAATTTTTCCGAGACACTTGTTGGTAATAAAAAAGCTGATATTTATAGACAATTGTTTGTGTAAACATATGTGTCACGACATGGTGGAATCAGGCGCTCATCAATTTTTAGGGCATGTGGAGTTATTGGTATCATCTGGTAGGTGATTTATTTACCTTGCTTCCTATGAAATAAATGTCCATTTATCTTGAATAGAACTCAAGTTGTTTGCGATTGAAGGAAGTGAGGTCGCCTGGTTTCAGTGGTGAAATTAGCGAGAAAATGGCCTCCAATAACCATTTTTTTAGAGTCTTTAAAACCAGAAAAATGACTAATGTTGTGCCTTTAATCTATGTTTTTCAGGAAAATTCTCTTGGAAATGTGTTTTTATATGGGCGTAAAAGAGGTTAGGTCAAAAAATAAAAATTTGATAAAAATTTCCAAACTGGCTGAAAAATGACGATTTCTCAGATTTCATCGTTTTGATGAGCGCCTGATTTCACCGCGATGCCTCACATATTATGTCAAACAGATTGCCATTAGACTTTTTAAACATTCTTAATAATTGTGCACATTATATTTTATTAACATGATGATAATACATTTATCATATGGGTACAGTCAGCTTCATTTGCGTTGAAGTTGCCTAATTACTTCCCGGTGCGATGCCACTGACTGAAGTGTCTTTAGGCCACTCCCAAAGGGGGGACATTTCTCGTTCTAATGCACAGTAGAATAGTAAATGGGCTGGCTGATTCAACAGTGTCATGCTCATAACTGTGCCTGAACTACAACAGAGAACTGCTGCTTTTTCTTTCCTGATCCTTACTATTGTCATTTTCCTCTACTTCTTTTGTATGTTTGTCACTCCCTTGTGACCTGCTATTTTGGGGTGCCTTGATAGTCGAAGCAGACCTTGTGCTGTTGAAGCTAGAGAGGTGAGCAGTCTAAGTCTGATTCCCTGTAAATACTTCTCTGTTGACACCCACCTCTTGGCGCTCATATGACCTTATGCAGTTACGAGCGCCGTAAAACCTTCTACTATAAAAAAAAAGACTTTTTAAACAGACGTTCTTAATATTAACTGTGCACAGTATATATTATGAACATGATGATAATACATTTATCATACGGGTACAGTCAGCTACACTTGTGTTGATTTGCTTGAGTTGAGATTCGATTAAGTTGATTTTTTTTCTCGGATGTTTTTAACACTAGCAAAGTTTAGTTTCATTGAATGGAAGACTGAATAGCATTGTGCTTGGTTCTACCACTGTTATCTGGTTGTTGTTTTCTTGCCTCAGGGATATACATGAATTGATTAAAATTTATTTTTTCAAAAGGTAGTCTGTGTGCTTTTCTTTTATTGGCCTATGCGCAGACAGTGGAAAAAAGGTGATGCTCTAGACCTGTAGTAATTTAATATAGTCAGCTGTGGAAGTATTGATTGTGTACTCAGAGAGACAGACAGACAGACAGACAGAAAGAGGTGAGAGAGAGACAGACAGACAGAGGAGAGAGACAGAGATCGAGGGAGACAGACAGACAGATGGAGACAGACAGACAGACAGACTGAGGAGAGAGAAAGAGAGTGAGAGTGAGAGAGAGAGACAGAGAAG